TATTCAACATGAGATGTCATTCAAAGAAAAAGAACCAAAATAACACACCTTGTAAATAAATCACCAATATGCTGGTGAAGCCACATTGTATACGCAACAAGGTTTGGTGGCTTGGCAGCCACACCAAATATCCCAAATAAGATTCATCCAAGTTTATCTCCACACCTACACCAACACAAATCAATTTGGAATCTTTATCCTTACATAGCAAAGAAAATTCATATCGAGATGAAATGAAAGAGTTCAATGAGAGTTGAAATGAGTTCAACTGAGAGATGAAATTACATAAGCCAGAAATCAAATTGGACTTTATCCTTTACATAAGCGAGAAATTACTTCAACTGAGAGATGAAATGAAACAAAGAAAGAGGTGGTAACATATACCCTATTCCATTTTCAGCATTGTCCACAAGGTGATTAATTGCTTAAGTGACACCAGATTCCTGAAATGTCTTCATGAGCCGCCAGTTTTTTGAAGAAAGAGAGTTGGATGAACTTTGAAAATGAACGACACACTCATACCTCAAATCACCTGAGCGGGAACCGTTAGTAGATAAAACTGTGGTTTCTTATTTGACCAAAGTGTAGAGTTAAACGTTGAAGCACACGACTATTGAAAAACAAAACTGAGGTTTTAAACTGCAAAATACATTATTATTCAATGAAAAAGCATTTGCATTTGCTGATTGAGAATACTTTAAACTTGAGAATGAGGGGAAAAAAGCACCACAGATGAAGATGCTGATTGAGACTGAGTAGCATTTGCATAATCCGGAAAGTAATTAAAATTTGCTGAAAAACATTAAATATTTCCACAAAGAACCATAAACAAAATAATTTACAAGTACACATATCTCTTGAAATTCTCTCTTCTGTATGCCAGAGAACGGTAGCTCTGCTGAGAAACTAATATCTTCCCCGTAACAATATAAATGATAAAATTAATAATTAGAAAGGATAATTAAATAAAATCAGGATGCAAACCATATAAGACATAAGACCAGTTATGAAGTTAAATCAACAGTAAGTGCAGAGGATGTTAAAATCGATTATTGAGTAACTTTTGACTTTATGTTGCATTTATATTTATTTAAAAGTGTATAAAAATATTAACAAAGATACTCACCCAAGTTTATATATAAAAATGAAGAGCCGGTAAGGAGAGAAGAAATTACTTGTGGATTGATCACCATTGTAGCATTGAGAATTCAAAGGTTGTCCTTTGCAGATTCAAAGTTGAAGTTAAGACTTAGAGAGATGTTGGTCAAAACTAGAGAGTGATGATGAGCTATCAATCCACCAAGTTCTTCTTCACTCTAAGAGAAACCCTGATTGATTCAAATCCTATTATTTGAGTAGACAAAATGAAAAACATAAAATATCAATGCGACCCATCCTTAAATTACAGATTTATATTAAGAGTATAATTAGATTCATTAAGACGATTAAAGATTACAAAAATGTTGATTGATAATTAGAGTTTAAATATTAAAAGATGCAAATTATTCCCACATAAAGACAAATGATAAAGAGAGGAAAACCTGTGGTTTGGAGGAAACATAGTGTCGAAGTTGATAATTCGAGAGAAAACTTAATCAGTAGTATCAGACAAAGATGACAATCAGTTATTTGTCTCTATTTTAGAGAAGAGGACAATATCTAATTTCCTTCTCAACATTGTCATTTGATGAAGGTGGTTTGGTAGAGACTTCAATTTGGGGCATGAATGAACTATCAAGTTCTGAGAGATGGCATGATGTAATATTTTCATCTCCTCTCTTTGTAACTCGTAATTCCTCTTCATTCTTGCATCTCTCATAAGCGTAGAAATTCAGTTTGGGAAACAATAATTGATGAAGATGATGATGTGGATCACTCTCTATTCCCAAAAACTCATTACCCACTCTTTTCACACTTTCTATCCATCTACCAAGAATTTCAAGGGATGACAACTTACCCAAAGGAGGCAGAGCTCACAATTTATCAATCATAAGATTTAACTTCTCAAATTGGTCAATGACATCATCCAATTAGGAAAAATAGTGTGCCTCTATAATTCGTAGCTTAGTATCTCCAAATTTGGATGTGGTGCAAATCCTCGAGAAGTTCTTGATTTTGCTCCACATTCATCCTCTCCCTTAAAGCCACCCTCAATAACGCAAATTTTTTATTAATTCTTATTCCCTTAACCTCATCCACATCTCTCAAATTTCCCAACCCTTCTATACGAAATTCTCGAAGGGAATTGAATTTTTAGACATTCAATAGAACATGCTTCACTACCATAACTGCCCTCATTAAACAAATCTTCTTATTGTTCGCAGACTAGTTAATTTCTCCACACTTTTTGGCATGTAACTTATACTATTAGTCCCCCAATTTAACAATGTCTCAGTTGATAAAGTTTTCCATCCTTGTGGTAGTTTGTGAGACTCTCACAAAAAGTGATGTCTAAGGTTTGTAAATTAATAACCTACACAATTCCTCGGGCAATTCTTCTATGTCATAATTTGCAGACAAATCAAGGTACCTCAAGGAATTTTATTTCTACAGGAATTTTAATTGAGCAGTCATTCAAAGATAATGACCTAGACATGTAAACTGATCAACTAATTTGGACAAAACCATTTAGGGTCAGTATGTAATACAATCAACCACAAGGCTACGTAAACAAGTATTTCTAGAATAAATAGAGCTAGGAATGAGGCACCACCTTGAACTTTATCGTTGAATGTCTAACTTTATCATAAGAAGATATTAATTCAATTTCCTTGTACCATCAACCTTTATTGTAAACATTCATTTTGGGTAAGAAATTGAGCAAAATCATGTACTATATATGCATCTTGAAAGAACGTATTCAACATATCTCACCTTTTTGAAAATCTTGGAAGAAAGAATGCATTGCTAAAGTTTCGAAATACTCTTCACCAACTAACTCCATATCCTATTTGCCCTGACCTTAAATAGCCTTGTGCCATCCATAACTTGATCAATACATCTTTCTGTATTACATAATCCTTCGGAAAAATAGCACAATATGAGAAACACTTCTGCAAGATGGAGGACAAATCATAGTAGCTAAATAATAGAGGTGGAAAAATCCTCTGTTCTAGCTCTTTTGATTCCCATATTTCAATTTAAGACATTTTCCCACTCTTCAAATTTCTTTAAAGCGCAAAAGACTACCTAATGTCTTTACAGCAAGAGGTAAACCTTTACACTTTTTAACAATTTTTTTACCCATTCTTAAACTTCTATTGGTTTTTCCAAAAAATACAAGTGACAAAACAAGAAACATTCCTTCTCAGGAAGTATTCCTAGTAAGATTGTGTTGGTGGTAATCATTTGCAACATTCTCCTTCGTGTGGTCACTAAAATTCTACTTCTAGAGATCCACACTTGAGAGTAGTTTTAAATTTTTCCAATTTTCAGGATTTTCAGTCCAAACATCATCTAAGACAAGAAGAAACTTCTTTCCTCAATTGTCGACCTATGTTTTGCATTACGGCTTCTAATTCAACTAATTGTGATGGATATTTGTGAGAGATTCAAGGATTGCTTTTGCAATCCTGAGCTCATCGAAAGGCTCAGAAACACAAACCCATATTTTATCAAAAGGGTATTCACTTATCACATTAAAAACTATAGAGCAAGAGTTGTCTTGCCGATTCCCATCCCTACTATACAGATTACCGGGAGGACTTGTTGTTGACTACTTGACACAAGAGCAAATCAACTAGTGAATTCTTATCTTTATCTTCCATGAACCTCTGTGAAACAATAGCAGAAGTGGTGATTTGTCGTTCTGCTTCTTTGCTACCCTCGTGATTGTCTAAATTGAACCTCTCTCTCTACAGCAATAATATCTAGTTTTCTATTGAGATTTTATATTAACAGCCATTTCAACGCATAACCAGTGGCTACAACTGAGGTAATGGAGAACGAGGGAACATACCTTTTTCAGAGGCTTAGAAGCATTTTTAGCTCTTTTAATTTGTAATTTCAGAAACTTCATGTTCCACTGTCCAAGACATCATCTATGTCATAGGACACGTCTTTGAGCTTCTCTAACCATACTCACAGCACTATCCTTCACCTGTCGGTTGTCAGCATCAACAAGCAGAGCTTGAATGGAAGGAAGTTGCTTTGAAGCTTCTCAACTTCTTGCTTGGCACCCAAATCAGCTTATCCTCCTCTCGCCTGTTGACGAAATAATGGAGCCAGCTGTTCCAAGGCTATGGAAACAAGAGCTTCAGCCATATTGAATGATGGTAAGTGATTAAACAAAGATTGATCAGAAATAGAAATATTTGGTTTACTTATGTTGTGATAATGCTGCAACTTCCATTCAACATTTATAGTGCATGGAAAAGACCAAGGAATAAATCCAAATTAACCAAAGTTTTAATTGCTTTGATACTAGTTAAGGTACAAGTGTTGTTCAAGCAATTACTTTATTCTTTCTTTGAGCATATTTTATTTACTTTATTCCACAGACTGTACAGTTTGTTTTTTCTAAAACCGATATAGATTATTACTATAAAATAGCATTAGATATTATAAATTAAGAGTGAATAAGAAAGAAAGAATGTGATGCAAAGTGTAAAAGGCTTTTTAAAGAAAAGAATTTCACTGATTATTGTCGGGGGAAGATGTTCACGCAAAGAATGTGATGCAAAAGTGTTGAAGGAAAGAATAAGATTATTGTCGGGTGAAGATATTTACTCAAAGAATAATTAGCTTTACTATGACTTGAGATGGAACATGGAACATGAAAGTAACTTTTCTTCAATTTTGAGAATGGCAGATTATGTGAACCTTGAAAAGCAAAAGTTCTGCAAAATCCCATGTGTTTTCCTCTGTTATGCGATAGAAAATATATGGCCTTGATGAATTACCTTATGAAAACAAGGTTGTTTCAAACAGAATATTACATTATTAAGCTTGCAAACAAGTTAAACATCAAAATCAGTCTTGAAGCACTGGCAAACATGAATTTGCTTTTGTAAAGTTCCTTTGAATAACAATCAAATGGTATTATTATTTTGATGATATCCAAGATCACACAATGCCAGAATTACAAGAGCATCCAATGCCCTAAAACTAAACATACATGAAGTTCGAGTGAACAGCACTTAAAATCCCAGCTTCCCTTCCATCCCTGGTGCACAATACCACCACAACTTCTCAGAATATTTTCATGCATGACTTAACTATGGCATGTTACATGCTGCTCATCTATTCACTTTGTCGTGATCATGCAAATCGTCTCGACTGTTGCATATTCGAGTGAGACGCCACAAACAACATGACTCAGCAATTAACTTGCTACTTGTTCCTCTAAAATCGGCTGTGTAGAAGAACCAGTTGAGAATCCCAGCTTTCCTATGACTTCTTCCAAGCGATTTGCATTTGTTAGGTACAGATAACCAACCTGTGTACAAGAACCAGTTAAGGCATACAATTAACGGGAACCCAGAGTGGAAACTAATGCATTATTAAATGTAACAAATACTATTGCAAGAAAAAAACAAGGTACGAGGGTACTGACTAGTGTTTCCAGCGAAGATGCTCTATTGTAAACTGCTGTACCAGCTCGTTTTCTTGTCTGTGTTTTAGCAGAGATGATATTCTTTCCCCAGCGAAGAACATCCCTATGGTAAATAATATCAACTACCATGAGTCAAATGCCAACTCTGAGTAAATGAATATCAGTGTAATTTCAGCAGCAGTTTAATCACAGTTCCAAAAGATAATTTTCTCGCATTAAAAGAGATGCAATAGCAGCAGAAAGTAAGAACACATTTTGGGTAAAAAAAAGTGGACTCAGATTGAGAGTTTTAGCAGATTTCTCTCATTTGACAAAGTTGACACGAATGATAAGATCCTATTGTTCCTGAATGTCACTCTACTTTTTATGCTGAAATGGACTGGTAGTTCCATCATTAAAATGAAATTTGTGTCAGTAACGACCATAACAAAAAAGAGTTACTTATCATTAAAATCATTTCAAGCACTCAGAATAGAAGGATTAAAAGTGGAATGTTAAGTATTGGCATCATCATGAGCACAAACCTTCTGGATCACAAGAAATAAAACGTGCACAGAAAATTTTCTTCAAGATGGCCCTGCAAGATGAATAAATGTTGAAGATCCTCTGGATGTTTGCTCTTAAAAATCTAGAATTGGAACATCATATTGTATACGAAAAATCTTTGTAAGAGTGCTTTTTATAACCTCCAGATTGAGGAGGAAGGCATCAAAGATTCTGTCAATTTGTAAATATCTTACTTCTCAAAAGATGAAAGTCCAACTATACAAAATTAGGAGAAAAAATGCCTATGAAGAGCATCAAATCTTTCTGCTCAAGAAGTTCCTGGAGCAAAGCATCCTGAATGTGCAAATACAAATGTTACAATTTTCACCATGCACAAGTAACCAAAAATCTAATCAAACTTTCTTTAGTCATGTTTTCTTTTCACAATTTTGTGCAATCCAGACGACAAATAACAGTGCAGAAACTATTATAAGAATTGCTATGAAGCTACATATTAACTCAATTTGATAATAAACATTGTAAATCTAGGGACGGAAAGATCGGTAGAGAAGAATATACAACTAGACCAATAAAAAGCAGAATTACCAAAATATAACTATCAGAAGCATAACTTATAAAGCCACAACATCACTCATGCAACTCAAAAATAAAACATAAAATTAAAATCATACTTGTGCTTCACAGCATCCTACTGCCATTACACGATCATTATATTCTTCAATACTCATGGGAGGAAACAAAAAGTGCCTGCGAGCATATAGCTGCAGAGTTTAAGAAAGACTTGAAGTTATGAGCAAAGGTCAAAATTTACCCAAAAAAGGGAACTATGTTAGTAGCAAGAAACATAAACATGCTATCTCCCTCGTAGGTTTCAGTTTATATACAAATGCTCTCCAAAACAATGAAAAGACAGACTTGCTTTTGAAAGCAGGCATAACCAGTAGAATGCAACCCTTTCAAAGGGGCACAGATGAGATCTCTTGATCCCAAATATGGCACTGATGAAGATGCTGATTGAGACTGAGTTGCATTTGCAAAATCTGGAATGTAATTAATAAATTGTGCTGAAAAACATTACAACATTTCCACAAAGAACCATAAACAATATAATTTACAAGTACCAGAATCATGATGTAGCTGAATAATCCATTATACTACAAAATTTGATTTCATGAATTTACAAGTAAATACATCCTCTTACGCTAGTAAGTGAGTTGGATGAGCATTGAAAATATATGCATTGAAAATGAAAGAGGCAGTTCACAGTTCAAATCCACGGAACCATGTTTCACATCACCTGAACAGAAAATGTTAGTAGATTATATGCATGAACCTTGGTCCTTAATTAATAAATATATGTTTTGTCCTGAGAAAGCCAAAATTTACTGAAACAGAACAGTTTGTTCATGCCAATGAGCTCTAGCATTCCATGTGGCTGGTTAGTGTTACATGCAAGATGTTTCTGAAACTTTCTTCTAATGACCAAAAGGAATTATTTTACTGGTTGAGTACAAAATGCTGTTAGATAATGTACATAAACTTCATTTCTTTATTAATAATTATATGTTTTGAAACTTCTAACCTGAGAAACATTGATTGAAACAGAGAAGTTTCTTCAATTTTTTTCTTATGACCAAAAAGCATATTTTACTTGTTGAAGCACACAAATATTGAAAAACAGAACTCTGTGGCCTTAAACTGCAGTACATTATTATTTTTGTGAGATGGGATACATAGACTGTTATACATATTCACAAAGTTATCAAGTCAGCATACAATTTTAAGATCGAAATATGAGACAATCTTGCAATGTTAAGTATGTTATCCTAGGAAGACAAATAAGCTACAGCAGCTAGTTAGTGACGTTAACATGAAACAACAATTTCTGATTCTATTTTCTCATATTATAGTACTGGTCGATGCATTGTATTGCTAAATCCTGTGATTTGTAATGTGTAACCAGCAGAATGACATAACTCTAACAAAATTGATCTTTCAATGGTTTTGTCTCAGCATCATCCAGTAACTTAGTAATTCAAAAGGATAATAATCACTCCTACTATATCAATTCTCCAAAAGAGAGAAGGTATAGAGCATATATTTCTTCGAATTGAAATTCTGTTTTGTATACCAGAGAACACTAACTCAGCTGAGAAATCAAATATCATCCCCAGTAACATCAAAACATTGATACTTTTGTATACCAGAGAACACTAATTCAGCTGAGAAATCAAATATCATCCCCAGTAACATCAAAACATTGATACTGATAATTAGCGACAAAGATTGAAGCTTACAAAGTCAAGATAAAAGCCACATCACCGAGTCCAACTCACATACATCAACAGAAGACAAATTGCTCGGAAAAAGCATGGAGACTATTTGCTGCAGTTTGAAAAGAAAACAATTAGCATCAGCTATCTTAATACTTAACAAGACACTTAGTACTTTTATTTTTTATTCAGCTTGTCATAAATGGACCTTCGACCTTAGAAAGTTCGCTTCTGAGTATTTAAAGTACTCAGGCCCATCATCTTTTCATTTTCTTTTTTCTTTTTTTTTAATTTTTGAATAAATAATAAACTTTAATGTTTTAAATAACCAAATATTGCTTGAATTTCGAAATAAAGACAGTAAATATATGCAAAAGATTATAGCCTTAAAGGTAATTTTTATAGGTTGGAATGCTTTGATTAATTTGTATTAATTCATGAAGAAGGGAATTTTTTATTTATTTAATTGTTTTGATAGATATAAATAAAGTTGAAGATGTAGTTTTTAATTTTATTTTCTAAAAAGATTCTAAAGTTGGTGTGAAACTAGTTATCTTAAGAATATCATAAAATAGCGTGAATTCTTGTCATGCTTGTATGTAAATGTATATATATACTATTGAAAATTCAAACGACAAGACCTCAAAAAATATATAAAATTATTATGATTTAAATACTTTTTATTTAAATGATTTTTAATTCTTTGACGGTCATAGATATTTAATTTGTTTTTTTACTTAATACATCCCCACTTCTCTTTGGCCCCGACCTGCAACATCTACATCTTGGGATACAAACTTTGTACCCCTTGAAGACATACCCGAATCTTCAATCACAATCCTTGGGATACAAACTGATGATCCAGATCTTAATACAGTCCTCAAATATTTGGCTTTTATCTAAATACAAAAAGTCAAAAACATCTTAATCAATAATAATTTTCTTTTGTCAAACAATATCCCTATTAAATTTATATAATTCCAATTTTTAACAATACCCTTATAAATTATGTATTGTTGGTCTTCTTTTATTTATTTTTATATATTACATTAAACAATTAGTTATTTATAATTTATATACATTTATTTTTTCTTTTATAAATTTGATAATTTAAAAAGAGATAAAACATTTAAAATATAAAATTACATTATATTTAATAAGGACAAATATGTCAAAACATCATATTTAATATGTTTACATGTGTAAAACTAAACAACTCAACATTTGTAATCAAACATTAAAAAAAAAAAAATAAACAAACAAACATACATATTGATCAGACTTGTATATTTAAACATATTAAACTAAAAGATAAATTAAGCTTTTAAACAAAAAAAAAAAAAAAACTATCAAAGATTTGGTTGACTTCAAGTATTTCCTTCTTAAACTTTCTTTTCATTTTTAAACCAATTAAGATTTGATTGCCCAAATGGAAAAACCAAGGAATAAATCCAAACCAAAGTTTTGCTTTGATACTAGTTGAAGTATTAAGTGTTGTTCAAGCAATTCCTTCATTCTTTTCTTTGAGCGTATTTTTATTGTAAACTAGGAAGTCTCTTCAATCTATACAAGAATAGTTAAAATAATCCAATTCATTTAAAGAATTAAACTTTCAAGTTTCAACAAGCTACTCTTAAAGAAAGAAAGAATGTGATGCAAATTGTAGAAGACCATTTAAAGGAAAGAATTTGAATGATTTTAGTTGGGAGAAGATGATCTTTACTGAAAGAATAAGTAAGTTTCCTTTACACTTTTAGCTTTACAATAACTTAGAGATGGAAGTAACTTTTAAATAAAATTTTGAGAATGACAAATTATATGAATCTTAAAAAGCAAAAGCTCTGCCAAATTTTGAATAATAACTTTTGGACTTAAAATATTGCATTACAATCTATAAAGCTTGAAAATTAGTTGAATAATAATAATTTTTTTTTTTTTTGACTTAAAATATTGCTTACATGTTCTCTTTATGATTAAAACAGTTATAATTTGTTGTCGAGATCTCAGTAAAATATATAATTCTTGTTTGAAACTTAGTGATTATATTATAATTGTTGTAAATTAAGCCTAATCTGTCACAACAATTCCTTTTCTTTCTCAAGTGAATATAATCAAAAGCTACAAATATTTGCAGAAAATTAAAGATCAATGACACCCAAATTTTTACGTGGAAAACCTCCCCAATGTGAGGAGTAAAAACCACGGGACCCTAACCCGATTAAAGTCTTTCACTATCATCAAAAATGGGAATACAAAGTCTTCTCTAGTGCAAACTAGAAGCATACAAACATCATAAACTTCACAAATCCATCACCAACAATCTCAGCAAAAACAGGTTCAAAATATCACAATTTATGGAGAGAATAATCCCAAAAGACACAAAAACTGCAGTTTGGGGTTTACCCACAATTAATTGCCTTACAGTGCTTGGATTTCAATCTCCACCATTCAGAAAGTAGAATTGAGTCTCATGAACAACATATCCAAAAATCAGAACAATCGGACAGCAAATGAGCTCCAGATCAAGATTTGATGATGCACTGTTCACAGACTCAAAAACTCATATTTCCTCTCCGTTTCTCTTTGTTTTTGCCTCTCCTCTCAAACATATACAGTGGTGAAAAGAATCTAGATGGTGGCTGGCATAGAAGGGACAGCAGTTGGAGCAGAACACACTCTCCCTCTCTCTCGTTTTTGGCCGCTACGTGATGAAGAAGAAGATGAAGATAAGTTTGGGTTTCAATTTGCAAACACATTTTGAGCTTGATATATTGGGCTTCACACCTCCATGTGGGAGGGAACGGAGTAAAGCCCAACCCACCATGTTGTAAAGTTTTCAATTCATATAAATTAGGGAAAACTAATTGCTTTAAACAGCTTTCAAGATATATAAATATATAAACGCACCATTCAAGACAGCTGTAGCTATAACTCCAGATGTGAAATTCAGGGTCAAGATGCATTGATAACTTGTTGATTGCATGTCCGTTTCGCTGTCCTAATTTAATCTATAGCCTGCAACAATCAGGGAAAGATAACGCTTAGCCACACTTACGGAACCAACACCTAAATATATGATAAGCAATACCTGTGAAATTAATACCTTCAGTTGCGATGTATGGCAAAACAGTGAAACCTTTAAGCCAATTTTGACACTCCACAGGAACATGATTGTGATTCTGGGAAACTTCCCACACAAGACATCACAATTCTACCAAAACCCTCTCTGTCACATAAGAAAAGCAACTATTTCCCCTGATTCTGGTCGTCACTTTACTCATCATGTTCAAAGGCCATTCTCAGCAGCATGCAGACTCTACAAATAAATGTTTATTCAACTGGATTAGAAAGAAATTCCCTAAAATGAAGGGTGAATTTCAAAGTGTTACATATTGCTTGATATGTTTAAATCATTATTAGTAATTATTATTACCATATATCTCCCTAATTCCATAGTACATATTTTTAATGACGGCAAAGGAGATTCATTGTACTCCAACCTTGACATTTTCTTAATCATGACAACTTCTGCTGCAAAAGAACTCAAGTGTGACGATTCATGAATAGTTTGCCTTGGGGAAACTAGTTTAGAAGTGTTACTAAAAACAGGTTGACATTAAAAGATAAAAATCAAACAACAATATAACAAAATATCAACATAAAGAAAGACAAGAGAGAATGTTTATGTGTTTCGGTCAATATATCTAAGGATGCTGGTTTCACTAACCAAGTAAAACATATTTACAAGGCCACACCCCTTGCAATAGCTTAGAGTCCCAAATAAATCCTCTCTCGAGCGACATCAATCCTATAGAGACTATGCATTTCTCCACTCTCGAACCACAATCGATCCTGTAGAGACTATCATTTCTCCACTCTCGAGCCACAATCAATCCTGTAGAGACTATGCATTTCTCCACATAAATAAGCCAGCACTTGCATAAGTTTATAAGAGGAAAAACAACATGTCTTTAGTGAAGAATTTGCCATTTGAGCCAATATTCAACCACCTCTTGGTTTCATGGCACAATTTAAGCAATATCTGTAAGTTAATGATCCCTCTTCAGCAATATTAATCACCACACATTAATACTGGAGATGCCTTGTTTTCTCTTTAAAATGTGACTTTTTATCTTCTCTCAATAACATCAAACTTCTTGATGACATACATACAACATCAATGTAGTCAAACAAATAAGTCTATAATACAACCAAAAAGTGACTGGATAAGTCTTCAGAACAAACACTTTTTGTTTTCCAGATTAAAGATTGTTGCTTAGATTACAAATGACAGCAAAACCAAAACAATGGCGAAGAAAGTACCTGTTGGACAGATGTCATTGTGTAGAAAAAGGAAAATGAGCTAATTCTACCAAGCTTGTGTGTACACTATTGCTTGACATTGATTCTTGAAGAAAATCATTACTGTTGAACTTGCTTTACTGCATCAAGTGTGAGATATCAAAAAATTTCAATGATAGAAAAATGTCTTCCAGTTACTTAATAACCATAAGATATCTGGACAAACCATCATCAACATAAATAATTCTGCTTACTGGGAAAGGAGGAGCTATAGCTATCATAATCTGCAGAAATGTCAGCAATCAGTTGTCTAATTATAAAATGTTTATCATCTCAAAGTTGCTCTGCGAAATGCTCTGCTCTATGGTTTTCCAAAAAAAAAATTAAATTCTCTTTCATGGTTGGTCCACTATTGTGATTTAGGAGTTGTTTATGACTAAATTTAATAATTCATGAAACTAACAATTTAGTGATGTAAAACATGCTTATCAAGTAAATTAATTGAAGAAAAGAAGCTAAGATCTTGCATGAGACCCGAAAATAAACATAGCTGAGATAATTTCCAAAGGATAATATGAAGGAATGATGACACCACGATCAAAGAAACGTAATATGCTGTTAATGGAACTCAGCTTTTGTTTCAAGGTAGTTGTATGGACAAAGATTTGGAAAACTTTTGTGCAAACGAAGAGTTATTTAATGAAAGAAGAATGCTACTTGGAATTAAATTTCAATGTAGTGCTGCTAGTTCATAGCATATTTTTAAATTATTCCAAATCTCTAACAGCATTTCTGAATTCAATTGCTTGGAGAAAAGCTATTTTTGGTTTAATCATGAATGGCACCATTCCTGCTGTAGCTAAGGTTCCAGCATCAAAAACCAGGCTGACATCCAAAATCAGCTAAAAAAGACCCATTTAATGATGCTAGTCAGAATGTTATAAAAAATCGAAAACTGTTGAGTTTGCATTCCACAACAAGAAGCTAAAGAGAAATCGCTTGCACTGATAAAAGAAACGAGGATGTGCTATGAGAAATGGTTTGGTTTCTGGTAGAAAGTGATGCTAATATGGACAAAAAAGAGTTGATAAATGGCCCAGATTCAATATTATATGAGAATGGCTATGGCTAGATTACCTAATCCAATTCAATCCAACAACAAAAAGTACGGGTACTATGCGCATAGTACGGATACTATGCTTTAGTTAGTACACAAATTAGTACCCACCATTAATACCCATAGCATCACTCATAAATATATAAACGCACCATTCAATCAATGAATGCGACAGAGATGACAAGGAGGTGCCTTTTTTCATCCAGGACATTAATTGCACTTATTCTTGCCACGAGTAACCGTCTTCCTTTGATATTGGATTCTCCATCTTATATGCTCAACTATTGTCTGTTTGCATTTGGGATACAAAAGCTCAATGTCAAGCAGCTAGCTAGATGTAAATTCAGGGTCAAGATGCATTGATAACTTGTTGATTGCATGTCGTTTGCGCTGTCCTAATTTAATCTATAGCCTGCAACAATCAGAGACAGAGAACGGCTTAGCCACACTTACGGAACCAACACTAATATATTGATAAAGCAACAACCTGTGAAGATTAATACCTTCAGTTGCGATGTAATGGCAAAAACAGTGAACCTTAGCCAATGAGTAATACTATGCTTACCACCATCTTACTACTATCTTACTATCTTTTGCAAATATAATTCATATACGGGTACCATACGCATAGTACGGGTGCCATGTGATTTTTCACTTATAAAGCATAGTATTACTGTTAGCCAATTTTGACACTCACAGGAACAATGATTGTGATTCTAGGAAACTTCCCACACAAGACATCAGCAATTCTACCAAAACCCTCTCTGTCACATAAAAGCAACTATTTCCCCGTATCGGGTCATCACTCTACACATCACGTTGAAAGGCCATCTTCAGCAGCATGCAGACTCTACAAGTAAATGTTATATTCAACTGGATTAGAAAGAAATTCCCTAAAATGAAGGTGAATTTTCAAAGTGTTACATACTGCTTGATAATGTTTAAATCAATTATTAGTAAGATTATTCCAATACCTCCCTAATTCCATAGTACATATTTTTAATGACGGCAAAGAGATTCATTGTACTCCAACCTTTACATTTTCTTAATCAATGACAACTTCTGTTGCAAAAGAACTCAAGTGTGACAATTCATGAATATTTGCCTTGGGGAAACTAGTTTAGAAGTGTTACTAAGACAGGTTGATATTAAAAGATAAAAATCAAACAACAGTATAAACAAAATAATCAAACATAAAAGAAAGACAAGAGAGAATGTTTTATGTGGTTCGGTCAATATATCTAAGGATGTGTTTTCACTATACCAAGTAAAACGTATTTACAAGGCACACCCTTGCAAAGATTAGAGTCCCAAATAAATCCACTCTCGAGCGAAAATCAATCCTATAGAGACTATGCATTTCGCCACTCTCGAGCCACAATCAATCCTGTAGAGACTGCATTTCTCCACATAAAATAAGCCAGCAGTTGCATAAGCTTATAAAGAGAAAAACAACATGTCTTTAGTGAAGAATTTGCCAAATTGGAGCCGAGATGCCTTGTTTTCTCTTTAAAATGTGATTGTTATCTTATCTTCAATATACATCAAACTCTTGATGACATACATACAACATCAATGTAGTAAAACTAAATAGTTCATAAATACAACCAAAAAGTGACTGCATAAGTCTTCAGAACAAACCTTTTTGTTTTCCATTAAAGATTGTTGCTTAGATTACATGAGACGCAAAACTAGAAACAAATGGGGAGAAAGTATCTTTTGGACAGATGTCATTGTGTAGATAAAGGAAAAGGAGCTAATTCTACCAAGCTTGTGTGGTACGCTATTGCTTGTATTGATTCTTGAAGAAAATCATTACATGTTGAACTTGCTTTACTGCATCAAGTGTGAGATATCAAAAAAGTTTCAATATAGAAAAATGTCTTCCAGTTAATAACCATAAGATATCTGGAACAAACATCATCAACATAAATGAATTCTGCTTACTGGGAAAGGAGAAGCTATAGCTATCATAATCTGCTGAAATGTCAGCAATAAATTTAAGTCTAATTATAAAATGTTTATCATCTCAAAGTTGATCTGCGGAAATGCTCTGTTCTAATTGCTTTTCCAAAAAAAATTAAATTCTCTTTTTAGGTGGTCCACTACTGTGATTTAGAGTGTTTATGACTAAATTATATATTCGTGAAACTAACAAGTTAGTGATGTAAAACATGCTTATCAGTAAATTAATTGAAGAAAAGAAGCTAAAGATCTTGCATGAACCCGAAATAGAACATAGCATAATAATTTCCAAAGGATAATAATGAAAGGAATGATGACACCACGATCAAAGAAACGTAATATGCTGTTAATGGAACTCAGCTTTTGTTCAAGGTAGTTGTATGGACAAAATTTGGAACTTTTGTGCAAACGAAGAGTTATTTAATGAAGAAGAATGCTACTTGGAATTAAATTTCAATGTAGTGCTGCTAGTTCATAGCATATTTTTAAATTATTCCAAATCTCTAACAGCAATTTCTGAATTCAATTGCTTGGAGAAAAGCTATTTTGGTTTAATCATGAATGGCACCATTCCTGCTGTGCTAAGGTTCCACATCAAAAACCATGAGCTGACATCCAAATCAAGCTAAAAAAGCCCATTTAATGATGCTAGTCAATGTTATAAAAATACGAAAACTGTTGAGTTTGCTTCCACAACAAGAAGCTAAAGAGAAAATCGCTGCACTGATAGATGAAAGAAACGAGGATGTGCTATGGAGAAATGGTTTGGTTTCTGGTAGAAAGTGATGCTAATTGGACAAAAAGGTTGATAAAATGGCCAGATTCAATATTATATGAGAATTGCTATGGCTAGATTACCTAATCCATAGATCCAACAACAAAACATTACAATTGCTTCAAACTACAGTAGTGCGGATATTCAGCACTTCCTTAAAGATGTCTCCAGTGCAGGATTTCCTGGTTGCTGCAGCTTGAAAAAAAAAAAAATTAGCTTAAAAGAACAACACAAAGTCACATTATGAAAATGAAGTATAATCATCAAAATCTCTTGAAATTGATGTAAGACAGTATATGAAGTTAAAAATTCCGTAATAAGTGCGGGATGTTACTGAAAGAAGAATCAAAATGCACCAAAGAACAACTGCTGTCTCTACCCCCTTGGGATCCTTGAAGACAACATATGCAATTTGAGACCACTCATTGCCACTGAAAGAAAAAATAATAATCAAAATAATATAAGATTATATAGTATTCTTTCTTCCATATACTATATCCAAAATATTCTCAGAAAGAGTTAATCATTTCAAATTTCACATTTTCTCTATTTCCAACAACCACAGAAAATAATAAAAGATAAAGGACAGTAACAACTTAGATTTCATATAAAAACCTGTGCATCTCAACATGTTCAATTTCCCCAGAAAGGAAAAACTCCTGTATATCTTGCTCAGATGCACCTAATGAAACACTGCTCACTTTCAGGTTCTTATCTGTCACGGCAAAGAACATCACAAAGGAAAACTTTCAAGGAATGCACATATAATTATAAATGTTAACACTGAAACTACAGATACAAATATGGGTCAATATGTTGTGAATGCATTACCACTTGTACAACATGAACGCAACTACACAAAACTACATTAACATAAAATGAAAACATTCAAAAGACCGGCTTAATTTTAATAATCAGAAGAAGGAGTATATAAGCTATGAAGTAAACTATTCATACCGAGGACCTTCACTAAACAAGTGTGTCGCCATTTTTACGGTCTACTAGCCACAATTTAAAGAGAACTCCGACACTTGTAACATTGAGTATCAACTTCTAACAAAATATATCTAATGAATTGAGATTCAATAATACAAAAAACATGTTTCAGCATTGTTACTGCCATCCCAGTAACATAGTATGCTCAATGTCTTATTTCTTTATTTGCATCATATTTGAGTAATCCAGTTCACTCAGTTTACTCATGCTTTGATCACCATATGCAAAATATAGACTTCACATTATTTTTTCTAAACAATATTTCATTTTCCAGATTATTTTAAAATAACAATTAAAAAAAAAGCACAACTACATTTACATACCAAGCAAAACCCAGAGAAAGAAACAGAACATGTTGAATGACAAACTAACTATACTTTTCAAGATTACAGTACAAGTCTAGGAGGATTAATTTCGAATATTTTAAAAATAAAATAAAATGAAAAGAAACTAGGATGTGCTATGGAGAAATGGTTTAGTTTTCCGATAGAAAGTGATGCTAATATAGACAAAAAAGAGATGATAAAATGGTCCAGATTCAAGATTATATAGAATTCCTATGGCCAGATTACCTAGTCCATTCAGATCCACAACAAATCATAAGAATTGCTTAAAACTGCAATGGTGCAGGATATTCACACCTCTTTCACAAAGAAATTGATCTAGGAGTTGAGAGATGTTGGTCAAAACGAGAGTTTTGCCTGTAAGGAGAGAAATGACCTGTGGATTGAGAATTCAAAGGAGTCCCTTTGCAGAATCAAAGTTGAAGTTAAGACTTGAGAGACGTTGGTCAAAACTGGAGGAGATGATGATGAGTATATCGATTCACTCAAGTTCTTCGGGAACATAACAAGTAATTTCTGATTCAAAACAAATAAATTAAAAGGGAAAAAGAGGATTACCTGTGTTTTGAAGAAAAACAGTGTTGAAGTTGACAATTTTAGAGAACTTAATCGAGGAAGATGACGATCAGCTATGGGTTCTCTGTTCTTTGAAGAAGAGGACAATAATATATTCTCTTCTCAACGCTGTCATCTGATGAAGGTGGTCTGGTAGAGACTTCAATTTGGGGCAGGATACTAGTTTCAAGGTCTGAAGAGATGCATGACTGGAATATCTTCGTCTCCTCTCTTTGGACTCCCGTAATTCCATCTCTCCCATTCTTTCATGTCCGAAGCATAGAAATTTTAGTTTGGGGAACGCATAATGATGAAGATGACGGCGTGGCATCACTCTCTATTCCCAAAAACTCATTACCCACTCTTTTCACACTCTTCATTCCCTCCATCCAAAGAATTTCAAGAGCTGATAACTTACACACCAAAGAGGCAGATGCTCACAATTTACACAATCCCATAAATAAGCTTCTCAATTTGGTCAATGACATCATCCAATTAGGAGAAATAGTATTGCCACTGTAATTTTGTAGCCCTAATATCTCTAAATTTGGATGTGGTGGCAACTCCTCAAGAAGTTGTTGATTTTGCTCCTCATTCATCCTCCCCTCAAAGTCTGCATGCAACGCACGCAAGTTCTTCTTATTGTTTAATTCTATTCCTTTAACCTCATCCACATCTCTCAAATTTCCCAACGCTTTTATTCCAATACCTCGAAGGTGTTTGAAGTTTTTTAGACATTCAACAAACATTCTTCACTACCATAATTGCCCTCACTTATAACAAATCTTTCTAATGTTCGAAGACCAGTTAATCTCTCCAAACTTTTGGCATGTAACTTATACATCAATCCCGATTTTAACAAATGTCTCAAGTTGATTAAGTTCCCAATCCCTTGAGGTAGTTTTTTGATATTTTCACATCCACTTATCCTAAGGTTTGTAGATTATATAACCCACACAATGTCTCAGGCAATTCTTTTAGTTTTTCATTCCAAGACAAATCAAGGTACCTCAAGTGTATTAATTTTTTTATTTCTACAGGAATTTCTTCAATTGAGCACATACACAAAGATAATGACCTTAGACATGTAAATTGATCAATTAATTTGGACAAAACTATCTTAAGGTCAGGATCTAATTACAATCAACCACAAGACACGTAGAAAGTATTTCTAGTATAAATAGAGCTAGGAAATGAGGCTCCTCCTTGAATCTTTATCATTGAATGTCTAACTTTAACATAAGAAGATTCTAATTCAATTTCTCCTCTACCATCAACCTCTATTGTTAACATTCATTTTGGGTAAGAAATTGAGCAAAATCATGTACTATATCACATCTTACAAGAATGTATATCAATATTGTATTCCTCTTTTGAAAATCTTGAAGAAAGAACGCATTGCTAACGTTTCAAAATACTCCTCACCAACTAACTCCTATCCTTATTTGCCTCTGACCTTAAATAACCTTGTGCCATCCATAACTTGATCAATACATTTTTTTTTATCACATAATCCTTTGGGAAAATAGACAATATGAGAAACATTTTTTCAATATAGAGGACAAATCATAGTAGCTAAATAACAGAGGTGGAAAAATCTTCTGTCCTACTCTTTTAATTCCCATATTTCACTATTTAAGATACTTTCCCACTCTTCAAATTTTCTTTAAACGCAAAAGACTACCTAAAGTCTTTACAGCAAGAGGCAAACCTTTAAACTTTTTAACAATTTTTTTACCATTTCTTCAAACTCTGTATTGGTTTTTCCAAAAAATGCAAGTTGACAAAACAAAGACCAACATTCCTTCTGCGGAAGTATCCCTAGTGAGATTAGTTGGTGGTTCCAATGGCATTTGCAACATTCTCCTTACGTGGTGTCACTAAAATTCTACTTTCTAGAGATCCACACTTGAGAGTACGTTTTAGATTTTCCCAATTTTCAGAATTTTCAGTCCATACATCTCTAAGAAACAGAAAAACTTCTTCTCTCGATATGTTGACCTATATTTTGCATTACAGTTTCTAATCCAACTATTGAGATTGACTGTTTGTGAGACATTCAAGGATTAGTTTTGCAATCCTAAGCTCATCGAAAGGCTCAGAAACACACACCCATTTTTTTCATCAAAATGGTGTCACCTTATCATCATTAAAAACTAATCGAGCAAGAGTTGTCTTGCCGATTCCTCCCATCCCTACTATCGAGATTATGGGGAGGACTTGTTGTTGACTACTTGCTCAAGAGCAAATCGACTAAAATTCTTATCTTTTCTCTCTCTTCTCTTCCACGAACCTCTGTTAAATCGATAGCAGAGGTGGCGATTTGCCGTTCTACTTCTTTGCTACTCTCCGGCGATTGGTCTAAAGTGGAATCTCTCTCTCTCCACAGCAATAATATCAAGTTTTCTGTCAAGATCTTTATCCTGATGCCAATGTCATAACGCATAACAACATGGCCTACAACCGAGATAGTGAAGAATGAAGGAACGTACTTTTCAGAGGATTAGAAGCATCTTCAGCTTTCTTAATCTCAATTTCTGAAGCTTGGTGTTCCACTCATCCAACATCATCAATGTCATAAGACGTGTCTTTCAACTTGTCTAACCAAACTCTCCACAGCGTTCTCCTTCACCTGTTCGGTTCTCAGCATCAGCAAGCAGAGCTTGAATGGACAGGAAGTTGCTTTGAAGCTTGCTGCAATTCATGCTCAGCACCTGCAATAAGACTTATCCCTTCTTCCGCCTGTTGACGAATGATTGAAACAAATTGTTCCAACACTATCTCCACAAGCGCTTCAGCCATATTGAATGGTGATAAGTAATTGATGAAAACAGAGATTAAGAAATTGAAATGGTTGGTGTGTTTATTTTGTGGTAATTGATCAATGTTTATAGTTAGAGAAAGACCAGAGGAATCTTTCACTTCAACAAACTTTCGGTGAGAGCAATAATTGGGTTTGATAATAATCAACAAAAAGTGGACCCTCCACTTCAGAAAAATTTATACAAGTTTTGGCTCAGTCCTGTGACTTTTGATTAGCATGTCATATTATTAACTCATGCATTTATGACTAATGAATTATTATAAACGTAGTGGGGACCCTTGAGTAGAAAATATTTTAAAGTGGTGGCGTTTTCCAAAATCATTGAACGGTAATGATGCATTAATGGTGGTGAGATCACAGCCATTTGTTCTTTACAATTTGAAATTCAAATGAAGTGATTGAAACGTGAGAAATGGTCAATTACTTCAAAATGGCACCAAACTTTTCGAATGGAGTTTTGAATTCTTTTTTCATTATTACCGGAAACTTTTTTTTTTTTTTAATCATTGAATGTCAGCCAAGGTTTTGCTTTAGTACTAACCGACAGAGGCAGAGGTTAATCAACTTATAAATTTTGCTTTAACTTTTTATAGTGCCCTTTACTTTTTTTTTTTCTTTACTTTTGAAATTTTGCTTTAACTTTTTATAGTTTCCTTTATTATTATTATTATTATTTTTTTTAATCAACTCATGAATTTTAAACATATATTTTTTTTATGGGAATTCTAATAAACTTTTGACGGAGAGAGTTAATTGTTGCACTAATTGAAATGATGATGCATTAATGGAGTACAAATGGTTAGATTACAGCCTTTTGTTGTTTACAATTTTGGAATTCAAGTGGGGGTGATATCATGGGTTAAATCGTCTTTACGTAAGCTGCAGTTCTGGGAGCACATAATAAAGTGAACAATATAAAGGAAAAATAACAACGTATTTCGCTTGAATTTCAAAACATCTTACCTTAAATAAAGGAAAAATATCACGTCTTTAAAAGTATAAATTACCTGTTAATTTATTTTTATGCATGAAAAAGTGACTTATAATTTTTTTAATTATATAATTGACCAATTGTGTTTTGGTACATATAAATATGAAGATATCTTGTTAAATTATTTTGCGAATCCGTATTAAAAAATATTAAAATTTAGTTGAAACGGGATATCTTATCATAGAAAGTTGTTGCTTAAATAATAATAATAATCCACAAAGGCAGAGCTTAATAGGCACTCCACTTTTTTTAATTTGCTTTTAATTTTTTATAGTGTTCCTTTTTTTTTTTTTTTTAATTACAATTCAATAATTTAACAAAGAAGATGAAAATTAACTAATTGATTGATATTATACTTGTATTAACTTTCATATTACACCAAACTAATCAATAATATAAAGAAAGATTAAAGGAACCTTTCACTTGGTGAGAGCAATAATTTGGTTTAATAATAATCATTAATCAACAAATGGAGGAACATAGTGGACCCTCCACTCGAGAAAATATTATACAAGTTTTTGCTCTAGAACTAATCGACAAAGGCAGATGTTAATGGGCCCTCCACTTTTGAAAATTGCTTTAACTTTTTGTAGTGCTCCTTACTCTTTTTTTTTTAATTAAACATAGATTTTTTACATGATTTTTTTTTTTTTTTTTTTTTTTTTTGTGTGGGTGGATTCTAATAAACTTTTGAGAAGAGAGTTAATTTTTGCATTAATCGAGGTGATATGCAAGAATGGAGTACAAATGGTGAGATCACAGCCATTTGTTCTTTACAATTGTGAAATTCAAGTGGGTGTGATATCATGCGCTGAATCCGCGTTTACGTAAGTTGATTGAAATGTGAGAAATGATCGCATGGTGCCACGTCGTCTGCATCGTCTATAAAATTATTTCCATTACGTTATATGCATCTTAAACTTTACAGTCAGAGGAAGACGAAAGGAATCTTTCACGCGATACTACTTCAGAGTGGCCGGGCTCAAGCCTCAAGGGAACCAAAGGGAATTATTATAATTAAAAAGGACCAAAACTTTTTATAGTATCAAAGCAAAACTAGTCAACAAAGGCAGGCTCAGCTCAAAGGTGTCTCTGGCCCCGTCTTCCATTATTTCGCTTCAACTTTTGAGAGTACGCCTTAATTTTCGGGAACTGTGGTTCCCACTGTCCCCACTGTCGGCCACCTTTAAAGAAAAACTATGGAGAGCCCCTGTTTTCTCTTTTATCATGAGACTTGGAAAAGAAAATCTTAAATGTATGTTTGGTTGATTATTTTAGATAAGATTTTAAGAATAATATCATATAGTTAAATAGAGTTATGATTATAAGAATAGAATTTATAAAATATATGTTTGATTGCGTATTTTGATCTTGATATTTGTGTTGAATATTTGATTAATATATTTTTTTTATAAATATAATATTTTGTTATATTTTATTAAAATAATGTATTATTATATATATAACTTATCAATTTATATTTTAATCCATAAATATTAAAAAACAAAAATTCATATTAATTTTAAGTACTAATCTAATTGTTTAAAAACATCATATTAATACATATATGATAAAAGTATTAATTATCAACCCTTATAAACATTCTTATACGTATACTTTATTAATAACTAGATATGATCTATTGTGCTGTTTATAATATATTTGTTATGTTATCTTGTATAATTGTCATATTATCTATAATACCTTGTTACGGTTAAAACTGCTAATGTAAACTGAAATTGTAAAGTGAAGAAGAAAAGTGAAACCGTGTGTAATGTAAATTGAAACGGTGAACACTGGACATATGAAGTGAAGAAGTGTGAAAGAAGAAACGACGAACACGTGAAAAAGGACTACAAAAAAAAAAACATGTGAAGTAGCGTTAAAGAAGAAAAAAGAACGCGTGAAAAAAGAAGGCTGCAAATAAAATTCAAACGTGTCATAAACGCGTCAAAAAGGAGAAGGCTGCAAAAAAAAAAAAAAAAAAAAAATTCAAACGATCAAATTATCAGAAAAGTGTTAAGGAATAGATTTTGTCAGAAAAGTGCCGGAATAGGTTTTTAAAAATTATATTATCTAAATAATAAACCAAACACTATTCTCAAAATCTGTCTGGGTGAATATTTTCACCCAAAAGCAGCATTAATTACTCTTAAACAGGTCTCCATATTGCTGAACGTTTGGGCTTTTCAATAGTATTAGGAGTTGGGACAACATATGGCCGTTTATCAAAGAGTTATTCTAAATTTCCAAATTCATGTTCCGAGGACTTTTCTCCTGTATTTTTACATGTACATAGTAACATTCATAAGCTGGTATATTTCAACGGACGGATATGATAAATTAAAGTTTCATCATCAGCAAGCAGTGCTTGAATGGATAGGAAGTTGCTTTGAAGCTTCTCAGCCTCTTGCTCAGCACCTGCAATAAGACTTATTTCTTCTTCCGCCTGTTGACGAATGATTCAAACATATTGTTCCAATACTATCTCCACAAGCGTTCAGCCATATTGAATGGTGATACGTAACTGATGAAAACAGAGATTAAAAAATTGAAATGGTTGGTGCGTTTTGATCAATGTTTATAGTCAGAGAAAGACCAAAGGAATCTTGAGTCACATAATGCCATAACTTTATTATAATCTTCTTTTAATTTGGGCCACGTTCATGTTAATGGCTGAGATCATAGCCTTTTGTTCTTTACAATTGCAATTAAGTGGGGTGAAATCATCGCGTGAATTCGTGTTGCATGAAATTATGGTTTGGAATTTCAAGTCAAATACAAGCAAATAAAATAAAGAAAATGGATAAAAGTAAAAGAGATTTTTCAAAATAAAGAAAATGGATAAAAGTAAAAAGGATTTTTCATTATAAATCAAAAGAGTAGAATGAGTCAATCTCTCTAACAATTTTTGGTGGGAGCAATAATTTGGTTTGATAATAATCAACATGTGGAGGAGCATAACGGACCCTCCACTTTGAGATTATATGCATCTTAAACTTTATAGCAACCCAAGATTTAAAAGCTGTGTTTGCAGGTTTCCAAGATTTCTAATCGAATGACTACAAATTTGTTGATTCCAAAGTATTTATTTTTTAAACTTTCTTTTGAATAGCTCACCCCAATGTATGAGACTGGTTTGAAATTTAGTTATTATGATCACTAACCTATCCTCTTAAAATATATATATATAATCGGCCCCTAGATCAAGCAGCTGCATAAACAATCAAACTATTATATAAGCAACGAAAATGAAAAAAAAATGGATAAAAGTAAAAGAAGCACAATGATTTATGTGGTTCGTCTATTTTGACTACCACGTCCATGTAATGGTGTGATAGAGATTTTTCACTATTAAACAAAAGAGTAGAATGATCCACTCTTTCTCACAAAGTTATTAGAAAATCAACATTTATAGGGTTTTGAAGTTAGATGTGTAAAGGTAATAGATAAAGTTAAGTCATAAGAGATGTTTGTTAAACTTTGAACTTGACAATGAATGAACATTGAACTACGTCCATGCGAAGTTGGATGAACTTTGAAAATGAATGCCAAACTTCACAGCTCAAATCACCTGAGTCAGAACCATTAGTAACTATTATCTTCTTAAAACTTTGAACTTGACAATGAATGAAATTCTTGAAACAGAGCAATTCCTTCATGCCAATCAATATCTACAATACAATCTGGCTGGCTAGTTATTCAGAACCGATTTTTACAGTTCATTCTCTCACAAAGGTATTAGAAAATAGGTATTCATGGGGGTGTAACGTCTGTAAACCTGATGAACTTGAATCATAAAACATGTTTTTTTAACTGATTCCCATCAAAAAAGAAACTTCAAAGTCATCAAACAACTTTTGGATAATCTGACTTGTTTCTGCTGTAGCTACAACTCTGGGAGCGACTCCCACTCTGGAATTTGACGGCTTGGGTGAAAAATCCACGAGCTGGCTACCATTGTAATTAAGCTAAAACTATCCATAATTCCATATACTGATACGAAATTAGAATTTCGAGAGATGGTATGAACCCAGGAGCAATGCTATTATAGAGAACACTCAATACCTACATTATCGGAAGATGATCATTTTGCTTTCAATTTATACAAAAGCAACTCGAAAATTCAAGACTGTTCTCTCAAAAGTCAGGAAACAAACTCATATAGGATGTCCTACGGCCAATTACCTTGTCCATGTGTTTCGTATGCATAAGTAACAATTGCTTGCAGAAACCAATATGGTGAATTGATGGAGCCTTCTCACATCGCAATGGTGCTTGATATTAAACATTTCTTCACAAGATATGTATTGAGTCATGGCTGTTTGTTGCAGCTTGAAAAGAAAAGAAATAAAAGCTGACTTTTGAGTAATAATTTGTCACAAAATTATAGATACAAGAATATATAAGGGTCCCTGTGGCCAGTTTACCTGGTCCAATTCACATCCAACAACATAACATGGCAAGCTGATGGAACCTTATCAGTTTTAAAATTGAAGTGGTGCCTGATATTCAACATTTCTTTCACAAGATGTCTCCAGTGCAGGATTCCCTGGTTGCTGCAGCTTCAAAACAAAACAAAACAAAACTTTCGCATGAAATAATTTTAAAAGAACAACACAAAGTTACATTAACGAAAATGAAGTAATAAAGATCAAAAGTCTCTTAAAAATAGGATGTAAGACCAGATTATGAAATTATAAATTCCACAGTAAGTGCAGAGGATGTTAATACTGATTTTTGAGTAATATGTGTATCATACTCACTTAATAAGATTATATAAGATTCCCTGTTGCCACATTACCTAGTCCCTACCATAAAGATTGTGGGGAGGACTTGTTGACAACTAGGACTCAACAAAAATTCTACTATTCTATTCTTCTCTTCATCTCTTCCATAAACCTCTGTTACATCAATGGCAGATGTGGTCATTTTCCATGCTACTTCTTTCCTACCCTTAGTAACTGATCTAATGTTGAACCTCCCTTTCTCTACAGCAATCATGCCTAGTTTTTATATCTAGATCTTTTATCTTGACAGCAATGACATAACGCAAAACCAATGGTCTACCACTGAGATAGTAAAGAATGAGAAACCTTACCTTTTTCAAAGGCTTGGACGCATTTTGAGCTTTCTTAATTCGTAATTTCAGAAGCTTTGAGTTCCACACATCCAACACATCGTCTATGAGCTTGTCTAACCAAACTCTCACAGCGTTATGCTTCACTTGGCGGTCCTCAGCATCAGCAAGCAGAGCTTGAATGGCCAGGAAATTGGTCTGAAGCTTCTCAACTTCTGGTCCAGCTCCTGAAATCAGCCTTATCCCTTCTTCCGCCTGTTGAACAGTGATTGAAGCCAATTGTTTTAAGAGAATGGAAACAATTTAACTATCAAAATTTGACATCATTGAACTTAATTTAATTATTAAATACATAATTAAGAAAACAAAATAGAGTTGATAATACATCCAATTCAATAAAATTACCTTAAATACTAATACACGAGTCACAGGCCCATTTTAGACATTTGAACGGCTGCAACTTTAAACCCTCGATCTCAAGTTCTCTCTTCTTGCTTCTTACAAATAAACCCTGGTTTCATCACTGGTCTGGATGGTGACGAACTTTACTGTGCTGATTTTCACGTCGGTAGGGTGAACCTGCATAATAACGGCAAATTGTAGATATTTGTGTGACAATAAAACTTCATTTTCTCACCTCTCCATCATCTCGCTTTTGACAATAAAAAAAGTGTGCCTTCTTCAGCTTAAAATTTTCTAGTGGACGTCTTGAAACAAGTCCAAAGAGGCAATAAACGAGGAAACGATTGGCTGTTGAGTGTCGACTTCAATAACCAACCATTGTCGCAATTTGCAACAGCCAAGACTTCAAACCCTCTTCCACAATGAATCATAGAAAGTTGCAACAGCCAAGACTTCAAACTCTCTTCCACAATGAATCATAGAAAGTTGCAACAGCCATCTCTAACAACAAGCCCCCATAACTGTAGACATCTCCATATGTTGACACCTCACTTTCAAGACCATACTTTGAAATCCAACAAGAATAACATTAGAAAGAATATAATCTTTTGAAAATTAAATTACATGTTCAAATTTTGTAGAAGGCATGAGTTAATATTAATGTAGCAGAAGATCAGAAGTCTTGCGACTCTCTATAGCTGCATAACACGACTTCAGGACACCTTGAGGATCATGAATAATCTTTGTCCTACATCTGATATAGGAAAGAATTATAATTTTTGTCCTACATTATTTTATCTTTTATTGAACTCTGGAAAAGTCTTCACAATCTTGGTATGTCTTATCTTTTAACGCTGACGAATCTTCAATATGAACGTTTTTGTTGTTTATTTTACTACACAGTAAACGTTAAAATCCGTCTGTTCCGTTTTGACTAACTCCATCCACAAGAACTCGTCATTACGTGACGTCCGTTAGTAACGCGGATACTAGTAGAAGTTATAATACGAACGACTTTTTTCATTTTTTTTAATTACAATTCAATAATTTCATAAAAAAGATGAAAGTCAACTAATTGAATGATATTATATTTGTACGGACTTTAATATTACAAGAAACTGATTAATATTATAAAGGAATATGATTTCTTGCATGTAAACTTTGTTATATACATTGTTACAAGAAATCTTAAAATTTTCGTCTTATTTTATCTTATGTGATGTTGACATAATATTAAATCACCTCAACTCTATATCTATTTTTTAAAATCATAAAAAAAGGATATATCACTTTGGGATGAAAATTTTCATTAATTTTTGCAACTTACAAGCAATTTCGTGAAATTTGTGAATGCGAAATTGATTGATAGCAGATAGCTCCTTAGGATACGAAGCCAAATTAAAGTTATACTAAAGATAATCGTTGAATTAATTTGTACACGTGGTGGGACTTATATGAGTAGAAAAATAATTGTTATGTGCTAGCTTTTTCAAAAATAATTGAATGGTGATGATGCATTGATGAAGTACAAATCGTTGAGATCAAGAGCCACTGTGTACTTACAATTTCGCTTTCAAGTGGCTAAAACTGTGCTTACATAAACTGACTGAAACATCAGAAAATTGTCAATTTAACTCCAAATTGCACCAAACTTTCAGAAAATGGTGAATTTATTATCTATGTGAGATGGAATACATAAACTGTATAACATATTCACAAAATTATCAAGTCAGCGTACGCTTTTAAGACTGAAATATAAGACAATCTTGCAATGTTATTCTATGACGATAAACAAGCTACAACAGCTAGGGATCTTACCATGAAACAATTATTTCTGATTCTATTTTCATCATCTGAGACAACTTCAAGAGTATTTCGCAAAGAAGTTGCTCTATAATCAGTATCGGTTCTCTATTTTTCGAGAAAGAGGACATTCATCAATTTCTATCTTTAACTTTGTCATTTAACGAAGTTGGTTTGACAAATACTTCAATTTGGGGCAAAATTAAAGGAATGACATCTTACCCAAAGGAAGAAGGTGCTCACATTCTACTAGTTAATGACAGCACCCAATCCCATCATTTTTTTTTTTTATTTTAAAATTTCTTGTGAAAAAAAATCCTAAACTTTTTATGTTTTAAATAACTAAATATTGCTTGAATTTCGAAATAAAGATTGTGTCCTTTAGGTAATTTTTATAGGTTGGAATTTTTTAATTAATTTGTATTAAGTCATGAAGAAGTGACTAGTAATTGTATGTCGACTATGTCTCGATAGATACAAGTAAAGGTGAAAATGTAGTTTTTAATTTTGTTTTCTGTAAATATTAAAAGATCATAAAGTTTGAGTGAAATTAGTTATCTTAAGAATATCATAAAATAGTACAAGTTTTTGTCATGTAAACTTCTATGTAAATGTATATGAAATTATTTTGATTCAAATACTTTATCTAAATGAGTTTTAATTCTTTGACGCTCATAGATATTCAGTTTGCTCTTTTCTTAGTTCGTTCGTTGTATGACTAAAAGGCTTTTTTTTCCTCTTTTTTTTTTTTTTTTTTTAAATCTTTAAAGTCTAAATGTAAATAATTTTAATAGATTAAGATGTTTTAGGTTTGTTTGTTTTTTTTTTAACTTATGTCTTATTTATCATATATATATAAGTAAAAACTAAAATATTTGGTTTTTATCTAAATACAAAAACATCTTAATCAATAATAATTTTTTTTTTTGTCAACAATATCCCTATTTAATTATATAATTCCAATTTCAACAAAACCCTTATAAATTATGTATTTTTGGTCTTCTTTTAACTTTTTTTTTTTAGATATTACCGTAAACAATTAGTTATTTATATTTATATAATTTTTTTATTTCATATGTTTGATAATTTTAAAAAATAAAATTAAAACATGTAAAATATAAAATTACGTTATATTTAATAAGGATAAATGTGTCAAAACACCATATTTGTTTGATATGTTTGATAATTTTTATTTTTATTTTTTATTTTTTTACTTATGAGGTAGGGGTATTTAAGTCTTTTTACCTATTATTAAATTATAGTAAATAGCAGTATGATTTAAAATTCATAACATATTGCTCACTATTATTTTAGGGGTATTATTGTCATTTACTTCCATACACTACAACAAAAATGGCCTATGGTAACATGTAAAAAGTGTTACCGTAGGTAATTCGTAGCATTTATAAGGATGTTATGATAGCCCATGTTACTAAAAATCAGACATTGGTAACACTTTTTGCATGTTACTAATCATTTCAATAACTTTCACAAAATGCTGTTGTTAAGTATATTGTAGCATTTATTCGTAGTTACGAATGAGTTTTGGTAACACTGCATAAATGCTGTAAATAAGTTTTCTATAACATTTTTAACCTATTACAGTTTAATTTTCTGTAACATTATGAAAATGCTATAAATAAGTTTTCTGTAACATTCTTAACCTGTTACAGTTTAGTTTTCTATAACATTCTCAAAATGCTATAAATAAGTTTTCTGTAACTTTCTTAACATGTTACAGTTTAGTTTTCTATAACATTCTCAAAATACTATAAATAAGTTTTCTATAACTTTCTTAATCTGTTTCAGTTTCGTTTTCTGTAACATCTCAAAATGCTATAAATAAGTTTTTTGTAACATTCTTAACCTGTTACAGTTTGATAGATTGATTAAACCCTAAAACCTTTTGCCCTAATCACAACGAGAAGAAGATTGAGAAGAACAAAGCAATTAGACGAATTCCAACAAGAAGAAGATTGAGAAGAAAAGAGCAATTAGAAGATTGATTGAGAAGATTTGAGAAGAAGGGCAAAATGGGTTTTCAGCAGCAAGGTTTTGTAGCAAAATGGGTGGGAAATCCTTTTTCTAGGGAAACAAACAAGGGTTAAGAAAAGAAAAGGCAAACTCTGGAACTCAAATTAAAGAATTACCTTCGATGCAAATGAGGGTATTAGCTAGGAAATTTTGGGAAATTTTGAGTTGGTGGTATTAAGTGTTATTTTGCCGGTTAATATTTGGGTATATGTAAATTTGTTTGATCCCTACATGAATGAAAAGTGACAAAATAAACCCAAAATAATATGATTTGACCCCTAAACAATAAAAAATGAGACAAAATCAACCTCATTTCATGTTGGTAGGAATGATATTTTTTTTCCCGGTAAATAATTGGGTTTATGGTAACACTTATAAAATGTTACTGTATTTTGATTATATGGTAACATTATAAAAAAGCTACTATATTATTAGGTCTATTGTAACACTTTAAAAACGCTACTGTAGTTCCTATATTAGTAACATTTTACAAAAAAAAAAGTTACCATTGATATAAAATGTGTTACAAAAAGTTAAAGTGTTACATATGAAAATTGTTATTGTAACATTTTAACATTAAGTATTATCATATATAGTCTACAGTAACACTTTAAGGAAAAGTGCTGCTGTCCAGTGTTACCGTAGGTCATTTTTGTTGTAGTGGTATGCCTATCCTTCTTGCACATTTCTCCTTTGTACCGCTTATCTTCTTCATCCATATTTCTTCTCCAAATCTGTTCAGATAATTGGAATAACACTTCTTCTTCTTCCTCTTCATGCGGATAGTGTTTTGATGGTACGCGTTCATTCTATATATATAATCCATTAAATAATCAAAATTTAAGCACAAATTCAAATAAAAAACAAAAAATACAAATCAGTGGGCAACTTTTGGGAGCTCAGAATTAGTGCCATACTAAAAGGATGTTACAAATTGCAAATGCTAGATGGTTCCGATCTTGGATATCTAGATGTGTATATAAATGTCAGTAAATTAATGTCAATTCACATTAACTTCTCCTCATTCTTCATTCTTTTACACTTAATATTTCCACTTTTTAGGTGCGGTGCTGCAGTTGATCACACGTTATGGAAGCTGATGTGGGCAGTCATAATAGTTTCCTGGGCATTTTTTATCCCAATGACAGCTTGTATGCCAATGACGACCTTACTGGTCGGGAGAAGGAGACATTCAAGCGACTCGCTTCAGAAGAGTGCCGTTTTGCTTTTGCCGACCATGTAAGTCATTACTAATAAGAACGTTTTGATATTTGATTATATGAAATAATATTTTACATATAATAGTTTAGTCTGCTATCGAGTGCTGTTGATTGTGAGGTATGCTACGGATCCGCCACTTGCGACACAAGGCGGAGATGGAGAGTCGACCAGTGATGGTCAACTGATAATGCTTTATATGCATGGTGTGGAACCATCTGAAGATGATTACGACTTGTCTAAGATATAGCAATGGAAAGTTGAGAGGACGGTAAGAAGTTCTTTGATCCACAGACTTTATCACGTCAATATTATGATAAAGTTTCTTTCTTAATCTTTTAAACTTTTTTGATTAATTTAGGTTGATGGTAAACTATTCGATGATATTGTAATTGTCGATGGCTGCGCAAGCTGCGTTAATGGTGATAATTCTTCTACTAATGTTGCTGTCGATGATGATCCTGACAACAGTGACAATGGTGGTAAAAAACAGAATGAAAATGGTATAAAAATGCTCATGCTGAAGTCAAAAACAGAGTGAGAATGTTATGAAAATTCTCTTGCTAGGAGAGTCATAAACAAAGGATAATGTTATGAAAATTCTCTTGCTAGGAGAGTCATAAACAGAGGATAATGTTATGAAGATGGTTGCGGAATTGTTCATTCAATCAAATTAAATACTTGATCAATAGTCATCATTCAAATATGGCATTATTAATATTTGGCTGAGATGAGGGCATTAATTTTCTTTGATATCTTGTAGAAAATCTACTGATTTTTTTTTTTTTAACTCCTTTGTTTCTTCTCTGTTTCATGAGGAGGAGCAAGTGGAATAATAATGAATGAAGGAATTTCTAAAAATTGAGGAGAAAAATCCACGAAAAACCCATTTGTAAGAGCTTTATAGCTAGTATCGAAACAATGAAAAGTTTCAACTTCAATTCAACTTAAAATTCCATTGAGATTAATTCATTGGTGTCTATACATCTTTCTTTGTCGAATGTGTTAATCAACCCAAAAGAAGCAAGAAATTTCAATTCAATATCCGATTCATTCTTGCGTAACTAAGAAGGAACCTCGCTTCCAACAATTCATTTTCTTTCTTGAGTGAATATATGCAGAAAATTAAAGATCAATGACACCCAAATTTTTACGTGGAAAACCTCCCCGATGTGAGGAGTAAAAACCACGGACCGTAGTCCAATTAAAGTCTTTCACTATCACCAAAAATGGGAATACAAAGTCTTCTCTAGTGCAAACTAGAGGCATACAAACATCATAAACTTAACAAATCCAACACCAACAATCTCAGCAAAAACAGGAACAAAATATCACAATTTATGGAGAGAATAATCCCAAAAGACACAAAAACTGCATTTTCGGGGTCTATCCACAATTAACTGCCTTACAGTGCTTGGATTTCAATCTCCACTGTTCAGAATGTAGAGCTGTGTCTCATGAACAACATATCCAAAACTCAGAACAATCAGACGGCAATCGAGCTCCATATCACGATTCGATGATATCCATCTACATGCTTTACCACCACTCTCTGGATTTAAATCATTGCAAGACCAGGTTCCTGTCTATGTAGTAGATGCTGTTTCAGAAGTTCCCAGTAAACAGAGTGATGAAAATTTGATAAAATAAAGGGGTTGGCATTGCGAAAGTAACTCACCGAAAAATAAACATTCAATTTGACTGGGCACATCTTGTTGTCATATGGTATATATCTCCTTCAGAAGATACCTTGTGTTCATGAGATAACATGACAGAAGAATAATTTAAACTTGGATTTTAAGCAAAACAGTTTTTTGCTACTTTGGAAACATGATCTGAAATATGTCTACCGAAATGCAGACAGGAAATGGATTTTTCCTTAAAAACAAAGGACTTGAAAGCTTCATTCTTTACAGGAAATAGAAGAATATGACTAACTAATAAAACTTATAGAGCTAGTTTATTGTCATATATAACAGTGATTTCTCATAAAAGGAAGATTCAAGATCATTATTCATCAATATGTAGTACAACATTAAAAACGAAGTACCTATGCAAAAGGATTCTGCCAAATAATCATTCATAGGACTCTTCATAAAGACAACGCTTGTTGATGACAGTTAGGCTGAAATTCCGGGCTGATATGCTTAATTGGATAACACCTTAGGTGCATCCACAAAAGGCTGAACATATATAATCAGTGAAAAACTAGAAAGAAGATGATAGAATCCAAAAAGATTAAAATATGTTTCTATTTCCAATGAGCAATATGAAATTTCATTCAAAAATTTCTCTACTAGTAAATTAAAATAACAACTAACTACTTTAACTACTTCTCTTACCTGCTTGCAATTCTCCTATCTCATTCATTCTTTTGGACTCCATGGTCTGCTAGACTATAACATCATGACCGCAATTCACATAAATAACAGAATACGTATGAATATCTAAAGCATAGGTATTCTTAAAGCGAAATTGACTGTCCCTGACTATGAGCAAAACAATTGAAAGATGAAATACCTACACATGGTCAGGAAGTCATCGACAAGTCTTTTAATGCAGTCAGAACTCCAGATGTGAAATTTAGGGTTAAGATGCATTGATAACTTGTTGATTGCATTTATAGTTGCCGAAGAAATACAACGACTAATGATTTCAACAAATTTGGACTAGGCTGTCTTAATTTAATCTATAGCATGCAGCAATTAGAGAGAGAGGAAGGCTTAGCCACAGTTACAGAACCAACACCTAAACATATAATAAAGCAATAGCCAGTGAACACCTATAGAGACTATGCATTTCTCCAAATAAAATAAACCAGCACTTGCATAAGCTTATAAAGAGGAAAAACCAACATGTCTTTAATGAAGAATTTGCCAAATTTGAGCCAATATTCAACCACTTCTTGGTTTCATGACACCATTTAAGCAGTATCTGTAAGTTAATGATCCCTCTTCAGCAAATATTAATCACCACAAATTAATGGTAAGATGCATTGTTTTCTCTTTAAAATGTAATTGTTATCTTATCTTCAATATACATCAAACTTCTTGATGACATACAACATCAATGTGGTCAAATTGAATAGTTAATTTTCAAGAGCATCCCGTCACCATGATGTAACTTTATAGGTGACAACCAAAAAGTGACTGGATAAGTCTTCAGAACAAACATTTTCTGTTTTCCAGATTAAAGATTGTTGCTTAGATTAGAAATGACAGCTAAACCATAAACAAATGACAAAGAAAGTACCTGTTGGACAGACATCGTTGAGTAGACAAAAGAAAAAGAGAGCTAATTCTACCAAGCTTGTGTGGTTCACTATTGTTTGAAATTGATTCTTGAAGAAAATCATTATATGTTGAACTTGCTTTACTGCATCAAGTGTGAGATATCAAAAAAGTTTCAATAATAGGAGAAAAGCCTTCTGATAACTTAATAACAAAAAGATATATGGAACAAACCATCATCAACATAAAAGAATTCTGCTTACTGGAAAAGAAGGATATGGCTATCATACTCCGCAGAAATGTCAGCAATAAGTGACACCATCTAATCACTTGTTCTATTTTGTCTTTCATTTTCCAAACAGCTAAATCAGTCAACAAATCAATTAACTACTCCTCTAACATTTAATTGTGATATGTAGGAACAATAACAAAAATGTACAAAGATTTAAATGCTGGTTATAGAAAATACCATTAGCCCAATTACTTAGACATCACCCTTAAGAAAACCATGCATAAATAGTTAATGGAGCTTCGTCACACTGCTTGCATGAGATCCGAAAACAGAACATAGCATGAGATAATTTCCAAAGGATAATAATGAAAGGAATGATGGCATCACGATAAAAGAAACGTAATATGCTGTTAATGGAACTCCAAATGTGCATCTCAACATGTTCAATTTCCCCAGAAAATAATAAAGGACGGTAATAAAACTTGGATTTCATATATAACAAACCTGTGCATCTCAACATGTTCAATTTTCCCAGAAAAGGAAAATAACTCCTTTATATCTTGCTCGGATGCACCTAATGAAACATTGCTCACTTTCACTGTTCTTATCTGTCATGACAAAGAACATCACAAAGGCAAACCTGTCAATGAATGCACATATAATTATAAATGTTAACACTGAAACTACAAATACAGAATATGGGTCAATATGTTGTTAATGCATTACCACTTGTACAACATGAACGCAACTAGCACAAAATAACTACATTAAAAAAATATAAACATTCAAAGGACCAGCTTAATTTTATTAATCATGGACCATCCACTAAGAGAACAGCTGTATTGCCATTTTTTAAGGCCTACTAAGCCACAATTATACAAAAAACATGTTTCAGCAGTGTTACTGCCATCCCAGTAACATAGTATGCTCAATGTCTTATTTCTTCATTTGTATCATGATTTGAGTAATCCAATTCAATCAGTTTACTCATGCTTTGATCACCATATGCAAACTATAGACTTCCAATTGATTTTTTTTCTAATAAATATTTCATTTTCCAGATTCATTTTAAAAAAATGATAATAATAAAAAAGAGAGCACATCTACATTTACATACCATGCAAAACCCAGAGAAAGAAACAGAACATGGTGAATGACAAACTAACTATACATTTCAAGATTAAAGTACAAGTCACAGGATAATTAATTTCAAATAAATTTTAAAAAATAAAATAAAATGAGAAGAAACTAGGACACCCGGTTTGGAACCGGTTTAAAAACCCAGATTAAATGATATTAACATGGTATCTGATGGGTTTAATTGATATTTACCATAAGAATATGATGAAACGACAGCATTTGCGGTTTACCTTTAGGGTTTTCATTCGAATTCCAAGTAGCATAATGCCATGAGGAGTGAGACTAAATTTTGAAGAGAGACTTCCGGAGTGAAATAATTTCATAATTATCTTCATCGATTAAAATTGATTATTGAGTAACATTTTGACTTTATGTTGCTTTTATTATTTATTCAAGAAGTTATAAAAATATTAACACTAAAGAATCTCTTCCAAAATTTATTCATCATAAAAATGAAGCTAATCGGTTAAGGAGAGAAAAAATTACCCGTGAATTGATCACGATTGTAGCATTTTTATAAATTGCATTGCATTCTGATTCCAGCATATCATGTACGTGGCCCAGAAATAGAGTTGGGAGAGTCTGATAACTGGCCCAACTAATTCTTTACAAGGGCCCAGTAATAATTTATCCTCTGTTTATGGGATCAAAACATAATACCATTCTTGGTTGAAAACAAAACAAAACAAAACTTTAGTATGAGATAACTTTAAATTAAAAAAAAAATGGAGTTAAAATTATCAAAATTCTCTTAAAAACAGGATGTAAGACCAGATTATGAAGTTATAAAATATTGCCTAAATTTATTCATCCTAAAAATGAAGCTAACCGGTAAGGAGAGAAGAAATTACCTGTGGATTGATCAAGATTGTCCCTTTGAAGAATCAAAGTTGAAGTTAAGACTTGGAGATGGTGGTCAAAACTGGAGGAGGTGATGGTGAGCTATCAATTTACTTAAGTTCTTCACTCTAAGAGAAACCCTGCATTGGTTCAAATCCTATTATTTTGAGTAGAAAAAATGAAAAACATAAAATATTAATTCAAACTCATCCTTAAATTACAAGCTTTGTATTAAGAGTATAATTCGATTCTTAAAGACGATTAAAGATTACGAAATGGGGATTGATAATTACGGTATTAAATATTAAAAGATCTCAGTTATTCCCAAAAGAAAAATTAAAAAAATAATGATGAAGAGAGGAAATTACCTGTGGTTTAAAGAAAAATTAGTGTTGAAGTTGATAATTTGAGAGAACTTAATCAGTATCAGGCGAGGATGATAATCAGCTATTGGTCTCCGTTCTTAAGAGAAGAGGACAATAACTAATTTCCTTCTTCAACCTTGTCATTTGATAAAGGTGGTTTGGTAGAAACTTCAATTTGGGGCAGGAATGAACTACCAAGGTCTGAAGAGATGGCATGACTGTAATGTCTTCATCTCCCCTCTTTGTAATCTCGTAATTCCATTCTTCCCATTCTTGCATCTCCCATAAGCGTAGAAATTTCAATTTGGGAAACACAATAATTGATAAAGATGATGAAGTGGCACCACTCTCTATTCCCAAAAACTCATTACCCACTCTTTTCACACTCTTCATTCCATCTATCCCAAGAACTTCAAGGGACGACAACTTACCCAAAGGAGGTAGATGCTCAAAGTTTATACAATCATAAAGATTTAACTTTCTCAAATTGGTCAATGACATCATCCAATTAGGGAAAATAGTGTTGCCTCCATAATTTCTTAGCCTTAATATCTCTAAATTTGGAGGTGGTTGCAACTCCTCAAGAAGTTCTTGATTTTGCTCCGCATTCATCCTCCCCTTAAAGCCCACCCTCAAATAACGCAATTTTTTCTTATTGTTTAATTCTATTCCCTTAACCTCATCCACATCTCTCAAATTTCCCAACCCTTCCATGCGAAGTTCTCGAAGGGGATTGAATTTTTTTAGACATTCAATAGAACATGCTTCACTACCATAACTGCCCTCACTTATAACAAATCTTCTTATTGTTCGTAGACCAGTTAATCTCTCCAAACTTTTTGGCATGTAACTAATACTATTAGTCCCCCAATTTAACAAATGTCTCAAGTTGATTAAGTTTCCCATCCCTTGTGGTAGTTTTGTGAGACTCTCACATAAAGTGATGTCTAAGGTTTGTAAATTATATAACCCACACAATGTCTCAGGCAATTCTTTTATGTCATAATTCGCAGACAAATCAAGGTACTTCAAGTGTTTTAATTTTTTTATTTCCACAGGAATTTCTTTAATTGAGCAGTCATTCAAAGATAATGACCTTAGACATGTAAACTGATCAACTAATTTGGACAAAACTATCTGAGGGTCAGTATTGTAATTACAATCAACCACAATGCTACGTAGAAAAGTATTTCTAGAATAAATAGAGCTAGGAAAGGAGGCATCACCTTGAATCTTTATCATTGAATGTCTAACTTTACCATAAGAAGATACTAATTCAATTTCTCGTGTACCATCAACCTTTATTGTATAGCATTCATTTTGGGTAAGAAATTGAGCAAAATCATGTACTATATCATGCATCTTGCAAGAACGTATATCAATATCATCTTCCTTTTTTTGAAAATCTTGGAAGAAAGAACGCATTGCTAAAATTTCGAAATACTCTTCGCCAACTAACTCCATATCCTTATTTGCGTCTGACCTTAAATAACCTTGTGCCATCCATAACTTGATCAATACATCTTTTTGTATTACATAATCCTTTGGAAAAATAGCACAATATGAGAAACATTTCTTCAAGATAGAGGACAAATCATAGTAGCTAAATAATAGAGGTGGAAAAATCCTCTGTTCTAGCTCTTTTAATTCCCATATTTCACTATTTAAGACATTTTCCCACTCTTCAAATTTTCTTTTAAAGCGTAAAAGACTACCTAAAGTCTTTACAGCAAGAGGCAAACCTTTACACTTTTTAACAATTTTTTTACCGATTTCTTCGAACTCTCTATTGGTTTTTCCAGAAAATGCAAGTTGACAAAACAAGGACCAACTTTCCTCCTCAGGAAGTATCCCTAGTGAGATTATGTTGCTGGTTCCAATGGCATTTGCAACATTCTCCTTACGTGTGGTCACTAAAATTCTACTTTCTAGAGATTTACACTTGAGAGTATTTTTTAAACTTTCCCAATTTTCAGGATTTTCAGTCCATACATCATCTAAGACAAGAAGAAACTTCTTTCCTTCAATTTGTTGACCTATGTTTTGCGTTAAAGTTTCTAATCCAACTAATTGAGATGGATTGTTTGTGAGAGATTCAAGGATTACTTTTGCAATCCTAAGCTCATCAAAAGGCTCAGAAACACACACCCATATTTTTTTATCAAAATGGTTGTTCACCTTTTCATCATTAAAAGCTAATCGAGCAAGAGTTGTCTTGCCGATTCCTCCCATTCCAACTATAGAGATTATGGGGAGGACTTGTTGTTGACTACTTTGACTCAAGAGTAAATCAACTAATGAATTCTTATCTTTAACTCTTCCTCGAACCTCTGTGAAATCAATAGCAGAGGTAGTGATTTGTCGTTCTACTTCTTTGTTACCTTTGGTGATTGATCTAAAGTTGAACCTCTCTCTCTCCACAGCAATAATATCAAGTTTTCTATCAAGATCTTTTATCCTGATGCCAATGTCATAACGCATAACCAATGGCCTACAACCGAGATAGTGAAGAATGAAGGCACGTACCTTTTTCAGAGGATTAGAAGCATCTTCAGCTTTCTTAATCTTCAATTTCTGAAGCTTGGTGTTCCACTCATCCAACACATCGTCAATGTCATAAGACACGTCTTTCAGCTTGGCTAACCAAACTCTCACAGCGTTCTCCTTCACCTGTCGGTTCTCAGCATCAGCAAGCAGAGCTTGAATGGACAAGAAGTTGCTTTGAAGCTTCTCAACTTCTCGCTCAGCACCTGCAATAAGACTTATCCCTTCTTCCGCCTGTTGACGAATGATTGAAGCAAATTGTTCCAACACAATCTCCACAAGCGCTTCAGCCATATTGAAAGATGTAACGTAATTGATGAAAACAGAGATTGAGAAATTGAAATGGTTGGTGTGTTTATTTTGTGGTAATTGATCAATTTTTATAGTCAGAGAAAGACCTGAACAATACAAACATGTGACAGGTAAGACTATAGTAACTCTCCTTGCACCCTCCTATCAATATAATCTTCTAACACCTAAAATTAATCAAATCCTTCCTTTAATTGTCCTTCAAAATATCCCTCCGCGCCGTTAATTAAGAATGCAAAAATATCTCCTAATCAATGATTTGATTACGCGTATTAGGTGAAACCTAATTAATCTAAAAATTGAAATCAGAAGATGAGAATGTGGATGCGTATATGTAAACATTACACCCAATCAAAAACTAGTCAATGTTGAGTAGGAACTGACTCAGCTTTACCTGGATATCACATCTTATTATAAACCATATTTGGACGCACTGACGCAGCATCTACTCATGTCCAACCAACCAACCTTTGACTTTCTTGGTTAGAGAAATTGCAAGTTGCTGGTGTGAGAGGGAGATTTTTGTTAGTTTATCGCATGCCGGCACCGGCTATTGTATATTATAACCGATGAGTAGGAACTAACTCAGCTTTACCTGGATATCACATCTTATTATAAACCATATTTGGACTCACTGACGCAGCATCTACTCATCTCCAACCAGCCAAACTTCTACTTTCTTGGTGGAGGGGTTAGAGAAATTGCAAGTTGCTGGTGTGAGAGGGAGATTTTTGTTAGTTTATTGCATGCCGGCAGCCGGCTATTGTATATTATAACCGACACATCGGTCCATTAAGTGACAGATAATACCAGTGGTGCGCTTTTAAATATTTGTCGTTTGAATTGAAATATGCAAGTCAAAGGCCCCTTACGTTTATATACGAATACTTCAGAGTGGCAGAGCTCAAGTGAACCAAAAGGGAATTTTTATAGTTACAAAGGACCAAAACTTTTTCTAGTATCAAAGTAAACTAGTCAACAAAGGCAGGCTTAAAGATTTCCCTGATCTTGTCTTCCAAAAATTCGCTACAACTTTTGAGAGTACCCCTTAATTTTCGGAAACTGTGGTACCCTAGTCCCTACTGTCGGCCACCTTTAAAGAAAAAACTCTAGAAACTTGGAAAGCCCCTGTTTTCTCCTTTGTTATGAGACTTGGAAAAGATGTAGGCTCGGTGGATTATTGTATGAATAAGAATTCATTGACTTAAAGTATTTCTTTCAAACTTAAACCAATTAAGAATTTGTTTCCTAAATGTCAGTAAAAATTCATTTTTAGTGATTACGATCATTGACCTGCTCTTAAACAGGTCTCGATATTGCTGAATGTTTGGGCTTTTTAATAGTCTTGGGACAACACATGGCCCGTTTATCAAAGAGTTATTTTAAGTTTCCAAATTCATTTTCCGGGGACTTTTCTCCTGTATTTTCACTTGCACATAGTAACATGCATAAGCCGCAGATATATATATCAACGGACGGTTATAATAAATTATAGTTTCTACGGAGACATTGTAGATGATTTTTGCTGTTCTTAAAATCGAAGTTGGCACATTCTAACGTGTGACATAATGAAACCTTAACGTGATGTAACGTTAATCCAGTTTCACCATTAAATAACTTTGCTTCATCGTTGCCGTGAAATAAGCTGATGGAACCTTATCGTTTTAAAACTGAAGTGGTGCCTGATATTCAACATTTCTTTCACAAGATGTCTCCAGTGCAGGATTTCCTGGTTGCTGCAGCTTCAAAACAAAACAAAACAAAACAAAACTTTCGCATGAAATAACTCTAAAAGAAATACACAGAATCAATACACAAAACAAAACAAAACTTTCGCATGAACCTTTATTAATAAATATATCTTTTGAAACTTCGAACCTGAGAAACATTGATTGAAACAGAGCAGTTTCTTTTTGAAGGCATATTTTACTTTTTGAAGCACACAACTATTGTAAAACAAACTCTGTGGCCTTCAACTGCAATACATTATTATTTTTGTGAGATGGGATACATAGACTGTTATACATATTAACAAAGTTATCAAGTCAGCATACAATTTTAAGATCGAAATATGAGACAATCTTGCAATGTTAAGTATGTTATCCTCGGAAGACAAATAAGCTACAGCAGCCAGTTAGTGATGTTACCATGAAACAACAATTTCTGATTCTATTTTCTCATATTATAGTACTGGTCGATGCATTGTATTGCTAAATCCTGTGATTTATAAGGTGTAACCAGCAGAATGACATAACTCTAACAAAATTGATCTTTCAATGGTTTTGTCTCAGCATCATCCAGTAACTTAGTAATTCCAAAGGATAATAATCACTTCTACTGTATCAATTCTCCAAAAGAGAGAAGCTATAGAGCATATATTTCTTAGAGTTTCACCAGATTGGCCACATCTTGAAATTCTATTTTGTATACCAGAGAACACTAATTCAGCTGAGAAATCAAATATCATCCCCAGTAACATCAAAACATTGATACTGATAATTAGCGACAAAGATTGAAACTTACAAAGTCAAGATATAAGCCACATCACTGAGTCGACCTCACATACATCAACAAAAGACAACTGCTCGGAAAAAGCATGGAGACTATCTGCTGCAGTTTGAAAAGAAAACAATTACCATCAGCTATCTTAATACTTAACAAGACACTTAGTACTTTTATTTTTTATTCAGCTTGTCATAAACTTAACACAAGAGAGGATCTAATTCAAAATTTTATCTGCTTAAGCTACGAAAAGAAAATGTCTGAAAAGGAGAAAATCACTAGGAATTGATGGCGATTGTAGCTGCTTGACAATTCGAAGGTCATCTCTTTGCACATATGCGGAATCAATGTTGAGGAAGAGCGTGAGAGATTCTTGGTTAAAATCTCATGGAGATGGAGTTCTCTTCTCCAATGTTTGACGTTTGAGAATTCGAAAGGTTTGAACTCTGAAGGGCCCATTGATATTATTTGGAAGAAAACAAGCATTAATTTGGCGCAAAATGGGCCTTCATCTTCTAAGTATTTAAAGTGCCCAGGCCATCATCTTTTATTTTTCTTTTTCTTTTTCTTTTTTTATTTTTATTTTTATTTTTTGAATAAATAATAAACTTTAATGTTTTAAATAACCAAATATTGCTTGAATTTCGAAATAAAGACCGTAAATAAATGCAAAAGATTATGTCCTTAAAGGTAATTTTAAGAGATTGGATTACTTTGATTAATTTGTATTAATTCATGAAGAAGGGAATTTTTTTTTAATTTTTTTTATTGATTGATAGATATAAATAAAGTTGAAGATGTAGTTTTTAATTTATTTTTTTCTGAAAATATTAAAAGATTCTAAATTTGGGTTGAAATCAGTTATCTTAAGAATATCATAAAATAGTATGAGTTCTCATCATGTAAACTTGTATGTAAATGTATATATGTACTATTAGAATTTCGAACGACAAGGTCTTAAAAGATATATGAAATTATTATAATTCAAATACTTCTTATTTAACTAATTTTTAATTCTTTGACAGTCATTGATATTCAATTTGTTCTATAACTTATGTCTGTTTACCAAATATAAGTAAAAAAACTAAAATATTTGGCTTTTATCTAAATACAAAAACATCTTAATATCAATAATATTATTCCTTTGTCAACAGTATCCCTATTAAATTTATATAATTTTAACAATACCCTTATAAAATTTGTATTTTTGGTCTTCTTTTATTTATTTTTTATATATTACATTAAACAATTAGTTATTTATAATTTATATACATTTGTTTTTTTCTTCATAAATTTGATAATTTAAAATATAAAATTACATTATATTTAATAAGGACAAATGTTTTAAAACACCATATTTAATATGTTTACATATGTAAAGGCAAACAACTCAATATTTGTAATCAAACATTTAAAAATAAAAAACAAACATATCGATCAGATTTGTATATTTAAACATATTAAGCTAAAAGAGACATGAACCTTTTAGACAAAAAAAAAAGTATTTCCTTCTCAAACTTTCTTTTCATTTTTAAACCAATTAAGATTTGCTTACCCAAATGATAAAGACCAAGGAATAAATCCAAACCAAAGTTTTGCTTTGATACTAGTTAAAGTATTAAGTGTTGTCCAAACAATTCCTTCATTCTTTTCTTTGAGCATATTTTTATTGTAAAATAGGAAATCTCTTCAATCTACAAGCTATTTGTAATGATATAAGAATAGTTAAAATAATCCAATTCATTTTAAGAATTAAACTTTCAACAAGCTACTCTTGAAGAAAGAAGGAATGTGATGCGAATTGTAGAAGGTCATTTAAAGGAAAGAATTTGAATGATTTTTGTTGGGAGAAAATGATCTTTACTCAAGGAATAAGTAAGTTTCCTTTACACTTTTAGTTTCACAATAACTTAGAGATCAAAGTAATTTTTGTGTAAAATTTTGAGAATGACAAATTATATGAATCTTAAAAAGCAAAATTTTTGCAAAATCTCATGTTTTTCTCAGTTCTGAGACTGAAAATACATGGTATTGAAGAATTACTATATGAAAACAAGATTGTTTCAAACAGAATATTGCACTACAATCAATTAAGCTTGCAAATTAATTAAATAATAACATTTGGACTTAAAATATTGCATTACAATCTATAAAGGTCGAAAATTAGTTGAATAATAATATATATATGTATTTTATTTTATTTTTTTACTTAAAATATTGCTTATAGATTCTAAAACAGCTAAAATTTGTTGCCAAGATATTAGTAAAACATATAACTCTGGTTTAAAATTTAGTGATTATTTTATAATCATATAAGCATTAACATGGCCTCTATCAAGTTTCACCATTACTAGATGATGAATAATCAAGAAATCTATCATATACATTAACATAATTTCATATTAGAGGATCTTAGTATGTTCAGATGGGCTTTAGAGTTATGGATTAGGCCCAAACACAAACTATTGGGCCATTATAAGGCTTGAGATTATTCAATTTATGTATAAGCTCACTGACTCAAAATTTCTAGACTGTTCACTCAATGGCAACTAGTTTGTTTAAAGAGCTCGAGTTGGATGAGCATTGACAATGAAAGAGGCAATTCACAGTTCAAGTCCACAGAACCATGTTTCACATCACCTGAATAGAAACTGTTAATAGATTATATACATAAATTTTGGGGCTACCTGAGATGGTTCCTTTATGCATTAAATAAACCTTAAACTACTACAGCTTGTTAGTTTCTCCTCTTATCCGTACTGCTTTACTCAGTCTGTTGAACAGTGATTGAAGCCAGTTGTTTTAAGAGAATGGAAACAATTTAACTATTAAAATTTGACATCATTAAACTTAATTTAATTATTAAATACATAATTAAGAAAAGAAAATAGAGTTGATAATGCATCCAATTCAATAAAATTATCTTGAATACTAATACACGAGTCAAAGGCCCATTTTAGACATTTGAACGGCTGCAACTTTAAACCCTTGATCTCAAGTTCCCTCTCCTTGCTTCTTACAGATAAACCCTGGTTTCATTACTGGTCTGGATGGTGACGAACTTTACTGTGCTGATTTTCATGTCGGTAGGGTGAACCTGCATAATAACGGCAAATTGTACAGCGATTTGGCAATGGGAGAAGCAGTTTGATAAAAAGTCTTCACAATCTTGGTATGTCTTCATCTTTTAACGCCGACGGATCTTCAATATGAACGGCAAATTTTATCTTATGTGATGTTGACATAATATTAAATCACCTCAATTTTATATCCATTCTTCAAAATCATATAAAAAGATGATGGCATTCTAGTCTTTTTACTATTATCAAACAAAAATCATTAACAGAACATGATAGAATGTACCTATTTATCGTTTCAAAATCTTTTGGGTACCAATTTATCGTTTCAGTAAATCTTGGGTATGCGCAAGTTGTTCGGCCCACTTGAGATGAAAATTTTCATTAATTTTTGTAACTTATAAGCAATTTCGTGAAATTTGTGAAAGCAAAATTGATTGATAACAGATAGTTCCTTGGGATAGTTCCTTAGGATATGAAGCCAAATTAAAGTTATACTAAAGACAATCTTTGAATTAATTTGTACACGTGATAGGACTCATATGAGTAGAAAAATATTTGTATGTGCTAGCTTTTTCAAAAACAATTGAATGGTGATGATGCATTGATGGAGTACAAATTGCTGAGATCAAGAGCCACTCTGTACTTACAATTTCTTATTCAAATGGCTAAAATCGTGTTTACATAAGTTGATTGAAACGTTAGAAAATGGTCAATTTAACTCCGAATTGCATCAAACTTTCAGAAAATGGTGAATTTACTATTTATGTGAGATGGGATACATAAAATTTATAACATATTCACAAAATTATCAAGTCAACGTACAATTTTAAGACTGAAATATAAGACAATCTTGCAATGTTATCCTGTGACGATAAACAAGCTACAACAACTAGGGATCTTACCATGAAACAATTATTTCTGATCCTATTTTCACCATGTAAGACAACTTCAAGAGTGCTTGGCAAAGAAGATGCTCTGCTATTAGTATCAGTTCTCTGTTTTTCAAGAAAGGGGACATTCATCAATTTCTATCTTTAACGTTGTCATCTGATGAAGTTGGTTAGACAAAGACTTCAATTTGGGGCAAAATTGAAGGAATGACATCCTACCCAAAGGAAGAAGGTGCTCACATCCTACTAGTTAATAACAACACCCAATTAGGGATCATAGTGAATTTCCTAAACATAATGTCTTTAAATTTAGAGGTGGTTGCATTAATAATATTTGGCTTAGAGCATTAATTTTCTTTAATACAGGTCAGAAAGGGCCGGAGCAAAATGGGCTGTGGATTTCTAGTCTTTAAGGGGCCCAATCCCATCATTTTTTCTTATTTTAAATTTTCTTGGGGAAAAAAATCCTAAACTTTTTATTTTTTAAATAACTAAATATTGCTTAAATTTTGAAATAAAGATTGTGTCCTTAAGGTAATTTTTATAAATTATAGATATAATAAGCTTTATTTATATAAATGCTATAATAAATGTTAATTGTTTAACAATTGAACAAATATAAAACCATAGTATTAATCGTGTGCATAGATATGAGTAATATCTATATTGAATTACATAGTTTTAATAATTAAATAAGATAAAATGATTATGTCAAAACCTATTCTTATGTTGGATTTGTTTTCATGAAATTGACGTCTTTGAACAGTGATAATTGATTTTTCCAACCTTTCTTCCACAACTTGGCCCTAAATTAAATAAATTTTGGGTAGACTTCTTGCCCTATTGGAAAATCAAGTATGGAAATTGCATTACATTTCAGGAGTTAGGATGCTTGAGTCAGTCTTTATAAAATAGATGTTTATGAGTCGTGACAATTGGTTTTACAATTTTGAGATTCAGAATTTACGATGTGTACCATTTTGTTTTTTTTTTTTAAAAAAAAAAAAAGATCTGAAACTAAGGAAATTTATGAAAGTTAAAAAAGAGATTAGTTTTTTGATACTCATACACAACTCGTATTCGTCTTTTGAGTCTTAAATGAACACCTAGATTCTATCAGATAGAGAAGGTTGGGATGAGTCATGTCAATATATTGTTTACTTGAAGTATTTTATAAATTATAGATATAATAAGCTTTATTTATATAAATGATATAGTAAATGTTATTTAACAATTGAACAAATATAAAATTATATTATTCATCATGTGCATATAAATGAGTAATATCTATATTGAATTACATAGTTTTAATAATTAAAATAAGATAAAATAATTATGTCAAAGTTTATTCTTATGGTGGACTTGCTTTCATGAAATTGATGTCTTTCAACTGTGATAATTGGTTTTTCCAACCTTTCTTCCA